GGGGAGATTATATAGGGGGAGGATATAGGGAAATTGTATAGGGGAGATTGTATAGGAAAGAGAGGGTATAGGGGAGATTGTATAGGGGAGAGGGTATAAGTGAGATTGTATAGGGGAGAGGGTATAGGGGAGATTGTATAGGAAAGAGAGGGTATAGGGGAGATTGTATAGGGGAGAGGGTATAGGGGAGAGTTATAGGGGAGATTATATAGGGAAGAGGGTATAGGGGAGATTGTATAGGAGAGAGGGTTTAGGGGAGATTGTATAGGGGAGAGGGTATAGGGGAGAGGGTATAGGGGAGATTGTATAGGGGAGAGGGTAAGAGGGTATAGGGGAGATTGTATAGTGGAGAGGGTATAGAGGAAATTATATAGGGGAGAGGGTATAGGGGAAATTGAATAGGAATGAGAGGGTATAGGGGAGAGGGTATAGGGGAGATTGTATAGTGGAGAGGGTATAGAGGAAATTATATAGGGGAGAGGGTATAGGGGAAATTGAATAGGAATACAATGTAAGGCACTCCCACACATGACACACAATTGTATAGGGGAGCGGGTATATGGGAGATGGTATAGGGGAGATGGTATAGGGGAGATGGTATAGGGGAGATTGTATAGGGGAGAGGGTATAGGGGAGAGGGTATAGGGGAGATTGTATAGTGGAGAGGGTATAGAGGAAATTATATAGGGGAGAGGGTATAGGGGAAATTGAATAGGAATGAGAGGGTATAGGGGAGAGGGTATAGGGGAGATTGTATAGTGGAGAGGGTATAGAGGAAATTATATAGGGGAGAGGGTATAGGGGAAATTGAATAGGAATACAATGTAAGGCACTCCCACACATGACACACAATTGTATAGGGGAGCGGGTATATGGGAGATGGTATAGGGGAGATGGTATAGGGGAGATTGTATAGGGGAGATTATATAGGAAAGAGGGTATAGGGGAGAGGGGAGAAGGTGTAGGGGAGATTATATAGGGGGAGGATATAGGGAAATTGTATAGGGGAGAGAGTAGAGGGGAGATTGTATAGGAAAGAGAGGGTATAGGGGAGATTGTATAGGGGAGAGGGTATAAGTGAGATTGTATAGGGGAGAGGGTATAGGGGAGATTGTGTATAGGAGGATGCAGAGCAGGGGAGGATTGTATAGGGGAGATTATATAGGAAAGAGGGTATAGGGGAGAGGGGAGAAGGTGTAGGGGAGATTATATAGGGGGAGGATATAGGGAAATTGTATAGGGGAGAGAGTAGAGGGGAGATTGTATAGGAAAGAGAGGGTATAGGGGAGATTGTATAGGGGAGAGGGTATAAGGGAGATTGTATAGGGGAGAGGGTATAGGGGAGATTGTATAGGAAAGAGAGGGTATAGGGGAGATTGTATAGGGGAGAGGGTATGGGGAGAGGGTATAGGGGAGAGTTATAGGGGAGATTATATAGGGAAGAGGGTATAGGGGAGATTGTATAGGAGAGAGGGTTTAGGGGAGATTGTATAGGGATAGAGTATAGGGGAGAGGGTATAGGGGAGATTGTATAGGGGAGAGGGTATAGAGGAAATTATATAGGAGAGAGGGTATAGGGGAGGGGGTATGGGGGAGATTATATAGGGGAGAGGGTATTGGGGAGATTGTATAGGATTTTATTGGGGAGAGGGTATAGGGGAGATTTTATAGAGGAGAGGGTACAGGGGAGATTGTATAGGAAAGAGGGTATAGGTAAATTGTATAGGGGAGATTGTAAAGGGTAGATTGTATAGGAGACATGGTATAGGGAAGATTATATAGGGGAGAGGGTATAGGGAAGATTATATAAGGGAAAGGGTATAGAGAGATTGTATAGGGGAGAGGGTATAGGAGAGATTATATAGGGGAGAGGGTATAGGGGAGAGGGTATAGGGGAGATTACATAAGGGAGATTATATAGGAGAGGAGAGGAGATTGTATATGGGATTGTATAGAGGAGATTGTATATGGGAGATTGTATGGGGGAGGGTATAGGGGAGATTGTATAGGGGAGAGGGTATAGGGGAGATTATATAGGAGAGAGGGTATAGGGAGATTATATAGGGGAGGGGGTAAAGGGGAGATTATATAGGGAAGATCATATAGGAGAGATGGTATAGGGAGATTGTATAGGGGAGATTGCATAGAGGAGAGTGTATAGAGAGATTGTATAGGGGAGAGGGTATAGGAAAGATTATATATTTGAGAGGGTATCGGGGAGATTATATATGGCATATTATATAGGGGAGATAATATAGGAGAGATGGTATGGGCGATTATATAGGAGAGAGTGTATAGAGGAGATTGTGTAAGGGAGATTGTATAAAGGGGATTGTATAGGGGAGAGGGTATAGGGGAGAGGGTATATGTGAGATTGTATAGGGGAGATTGTACAGGGGAGAGGGCATAGGGGAGATTTTATAGGGGAGATTGTATAGGGGAGACTGTATAAGGGAGATTGTATAGCAGAGAGTTTATAGGGTAGAGGGGAGAGGAGGGAAGGCATAGGTGTGAGGGTACAGGGAACAGGGTATAAGGGAGAGGGTATAAGCGAGCTTGTATAGGGGAGAGGGTATAGGGAAAATAATATAGGGGAGAGGGGAGAGGGAGATTGTATAGGGAAGTGGGTATAGGCGTGATTATATATGGTAGAGGGTATGGGGAGATTATATAGGGGAGATTATATAGGAGAGAGGGTATAGGGAGATTTATAGGGGAGAGGGTATAGGGGAGATTGTATATGGGAGATTGTATGGGGGAGGATATAGGGGAGATTGTGTAAGCGAGGGTATAGGGGAAATTATAGAGGAGAGAGGGTATAGGGAGATTATATAGGGGAGAGGGTAAAGGGGAGATTATATAGGGAAGATCATATAGGAGAGAGGGTATAGGGAGATTGTATAGGGGAGATTGCATAGAGGAGAGTGCATAGAGAGATTGTATAGAGGAGAGGGTATAGGGAAGATTATATATTTGAGAGAGTATAGGGGAGATTATATATGGCATATGATATAGGGGAGATAATATAGGAGAGAAGGTATGGGCGATTATATAGGAGAGAGTGTATAGAGGAGATTGTGTAAGGG